AGATATGCAAGACTCTAAACATATCTTAAAATATGCTAGTCTCTATCTCTCTATAAACTAGATTCTATCACTTTGATATTCTCTCAATGCTATACAATGTTTTACTATGCCTATTCAAGGTTACATTATGTGGACTCTATATAGGAGCTGGATTTTGTTGTTTTGAATGAAATGGAGTACAAGAATCTCAATCAAAATCGAATTCTTGCCGAATAGGTGGATGAGGGGCGCCACTGATCAGCGTCCCAGCACTGCTTTACTTCAAGGGGCCGGGGGCCGCGAAGTCTCCAGCCTAGTGCCTAGTCAATGGTGAAAACACGTCATAAACCTCATCCCTCTGCTCGAGTCTTCGATCCGACGACCAGCTCTTTCATCTTCTCTCTGGAATAAAGCGTGTCATAGACCTCGTAAATAAAGCGCGTCATAGATACTCTCGACTATACTAGATGGTATCCCTAAATGTCATATATAAAGCGGGCAACAAATATAGCAAAATCAACCTTGAGTCCTCTTTATCGTACTTGACTTCTATGTTTTTCAAATTAGTGACGATTTCCTTAAATATAGACAGATGATCTTCTAAAAATCCACCTTCTGATAAGCGATGAGAATATAAATGCTGTTATAGACGCAGTTTGCTAGTTAGACTCCGAGTCATGCATAACTACTCCAACTTCAACCATAATACAGCAACACTATTCTCCTTTTACCACGTCTTGAAGAATTTGATTCGAAAAATGAAGACGCATCTGTGATATAGCCTTCTGATCCTTACGTTATTTCTCCTCCAATGTCAAAGATGAGAGCATCTTAACTAGCCCTAACAGAGCATCATCCAAATCCAATTACGCAAGAACTACTTGAATCTTGTTCTGTCGCAAAGAAAATCTGGTATTGTGATCCAAAAGTGGAATTTTAAATTTCATACTTTCCATCCCGAAACAATCAAGACTTGGTCTAAGTTGATCAAGCATTGCTTTAATATGAAAACCAAATTGGCTCTTCCAAGAACTTCGATCCTTGGCTTTGATATCATTTGTTATAAAACAAGCCAATTTGCAATAACCATAGAACTCATGCCACTTATTATTAATACTGAAGTTAAGAAAATAGACAAGATGAAAATAATTACACAAGGACACAAGATTTACGTGAAAATTCAAATCCAGGAAACCCACTGATAGAGGCAGAGAATTTATTATAATCGATAACAAAGAAGTGCAAAAAGATCTCGGAAGACTCTCAACATATCTCAAAATATTCTACTTTCTAATTTCTCTAAGCTGGGACCAATATCTATTTCACCTATATTATAAAATTTCATTTTTAATATTTCACTATTTTTGTTTTTAATATATTCTAGATTATTTTCTAAAGTTTTTATATTTGCTAATAAAGTTTATATCTTTTTATTTGAATGGTTTCTTTTTAAATTTTCTCTTATATTTACGAGTAAATCCACAATACTATTTAACTATCTATCTTCAAAATGTAAAAGATATTTAAATTTTTTATCGAAGTTACCAACTAAAGAAGCTGTATCTAAACTATATTTTCTTTTAAAACTTCCTAAAAGTTCTACATTTAAGTAATCTATTTTTTTCATAAATTAAATGTTTTAGACTGAGAAAAAGCCTTGATGCCAATTTAGAGGGGATGTTACTAAGAACTAAGAATCTTGTCTAAGAGAAAAATTTTGTCTCTCTTTTTATTATTTGCTATTATTTTTATCTTTTCTTGCAATTTTTATTTGTTTCTGGATTTTTTTACTGTCTTCAAGATCTTCCATCATGAACTTACTTTAACTTGAAGTGATTGAATTTACAAAGATTGATAGAGTTTTTTTAGTACAAATGTTATATGGTGTGCTCTTAATTCTTTCTTCGTGTCTTTCATTGTGTGTGATATTGATTTTTATAGACGCTAGTACAACACATTTATATTTTCGAAAAGTAATCAATATTGTACATTTTTACAAATGTGTGATTTACAATTAAAGAATTAAATATTACTTTAAAGCCATATGAAAATAATAAAGATTCTCATGAAAACTCCGTCTTCACGCTCCTCTTTTTTACTTTCTTCATTGATATTTGTCTTTCGAGTAATGTTTATTTGTCATTGTTTAATAATGGTCATTTATCTGCCTCTATGTCTTTTTGTCTCTTGAATTATTGTACTATTTTTTCACCATCTCTATGTAGGCTTCTTCTAGGTCTTCGTCAATTTCATTAGTTTTGCCATCGGATATGTATTCTACTTCTTTGATTTTCTGATAATTCACCATCTGTTTCTTGAAGGACCATCAGATATAACTTTTTCTGTTGAATATTTGGTGCTGAAATTTTTCGTGTTTTAACTTTTAAAGCAAAATTCTTGATAGAAAATAACTTCATTGTTACATTGTGTTACAAGTTTGAAATCATTATTTTGAATTTCTATCATTAGTGTTATCTCTGATATCCGTCTTTCGTAATCAATCAATCTAATTTTTATTTTGGTATTTGTCTTTGAAGATGGTCTAAGTCTTTTAACTCATTCATATATTAGAATATAATGATATGCTGGTTTACTATATACCATTATTTACAATATGTGGTCCGAAAATGAATTTGATCATTAAAGGGTAATTTTTAAGTTTTTAACTGATTAAGAGTGTTTAAATTTAGGTGGAAAGAATTTGACAAATCTATTTAGAACATACATAGTGTTTATCATGTCAAACTGTAAGATTTGAAAAAAGGGTTTTCTTCTTCAAAAAATATATAGTCAAAGGAAATTGTAAGATAATTATTTTTAATGAAAGCTGAATTTTTTAATGGATGATTCGTATTTGAAGTCATGTTTAAGAAATTCTCATCATTGTGGTAGCTTCGGATTTGAGAAAAATTGATTCTCTCTTGTATAACTGATTTATTTGGTATAAAATTTCGAACAATACTAGCACAATAACCAATTTTATGTTCTAATTCATATAAAATCTTTTCTTGCTCCGCAGTTGTAGAATTTGTTAATTTAATAATTCTTTCTATTTTATCGGAATAATTTTCCACTTGTAGAAGAAATATTTTTGGAGATGGGCCTTTCAACAACATCTCTAGAACTGAGTTTTGTTGAACTATCTTATAGATGAAGAACCTCATTTTGTTGAGATGAAGAGACTTCGTCTTCAAAGATTTCAAATCTTTCTTCTGATGTATGTTTTCTACGATTCAAATATCAATCAATCTTGGTCATAGTTTCACGGCCATCACAAAGTTGTATAGACGAAGAAGAAGATGATAGTTGTAATAAAAAATAATAGATTACTTAAATTTAGAACTTCTAAGAAGTTTTAAAAGAAAAGGTAGTGTAGATACAACTTTAATTTGTAACTTTGATAAAATCTTAAACATATTTTACATTCTAAAAATAGATAGTAAAATATTATTGTAGATTTACTGGTAAGTTCAGGATAAAATTTAGAAAGAAACAACTCAAATAAAAAGTATAAATATAAATATAAAAACTTTAGAAAATAATCTAGAATATACTAAAAACATAAATAGTGTGTGCACACACAAAAATTAGTGAATCACAATTCATTAAAAAAAAAAAAAAAATTCAAAATTCAATTGAAAATTAGGACAAAAATGACATTTACCTTCGATTTCTTATTTCTCAATGTGGACATTAGAGATCCTAATTCATATTGAAGATCCATACCCTAATTCATTTCTTTTTTTCCTTTTCAATTTATACATCGACTTTCACATGAAGACCAACAACTATTGTCTGTCGTTTATTGTCACGCTCAGTCATCATCGTTGCATGAATTTCTGAAATTGAAGCCTCAACTTTCAATTCTTCTTCCTCAAATGTTCTTTCTCTTTTTTTTTTCTCAATCAATAACGAAAATAGAACCAAACCACATCAGAATCGAATGGTTCGGTTTCGATTTGGTTCTATATCTTTTAAAAAAAATCAATTGATTCTATTATTAAAAAACCATTGGTTCATGGTTCAATTTGATTTCTTGGAACCAAAACTAAATGGAACCGTATTCACCCTTAGATTGGATATTATCCAATTTGCGTTTTTTCATGGGCTGATCTGGGCCATTTATAAGACAAGAGTGTGATGTGCCCAAAAAAATCCCGTTGTTCTTATTGCAACCATAAGGAGAGGTAATGAATCGATCTGAACTAGCCCTAAGCAGTTGAGCTCGACTTGTGTCCAAAGCATGGGCTAGGTTTGGTCCATAGGCTCGTGGGCCTCATGAGCCAACCCATGTTTTTTCTACGAGCCAGTCCATGAGCCTAAATGAGTCAAACTCGTGATCAGATTCCACAAGTGCTCCGTTCTTGAAAACAAAAGTGAGTTTGACTAGAATGATGACTCGTATAAAAACGAGCCCAAGCCAATGAGCGACTCCATCAATTTGCCACCCTCTTCCATCATTCCCCAGCAGTTAGAGGTGGGTTTGGAACTGTCAAATTATTTTTTTTTTCCATTTAATTTACATATTCCTTTAATTGAAAATAAAGGTCAAAAAATTGTACAAGTAAAACTTTTAAAAATATAACACGAAAAATCAACTTATTTCTTTTTTGCATTAATTGTAATTTTCCTTCAATGAATTACGCCAAAGAAGCCTGGGCTCGTTGTTGTTTATTATTAACAAAGTGCATTCTTGAAAATTTTCAGATAATGACTCTCCTGCAATGTCCGTAAATTCCTTCCCCAGTTCCCACGTAAAGACAGATATATATATATATATATACACTTATTCTTGCAATTAATTCATTCTTAGACATGAATGCACAGAGTGGGATTGATTGATGGATGTTGTGACAACAATGAAACGTGATAATACAAATGAGACAAAATTCTAACACAGATCAAGATCAACAATCTTTATTCGAAATAAACCGAAATGATATTGGGTGAAAATATTACAAAGGATTTCTCACATTGAGAATTAATTTTGCCTACCCGAAAGAGGCATCCAATGAATTACATTAACCTGAAAATTTTTCGAAGGAAGTTAGGTTTTTGAAATTCTGCCATGGCTTTTCGTAAACAACGGCCAGATAATTCTGCACTGCGGCTCCATCCACGGCGGAGATAACAAGCCTGTAATTAATGCCAGCAACGACCTGTGATTCCCCCTTGACGACCTTTTGAAACTTCAAGTTGGATTTGGCTTCCTTATTGTGCTCAGCCACCGCGAATTTTGCAATTTCGATGACCGTAGGGTCATTAGGGTTATCAATTGGCTCATAACCACCAAGAATGGGACCTCTTCCGCCGCCCGCAGCGGCGGAGACTTCGATAGAAATGGAAGCGACAAGAATCGGGAGGATTATGAGGGAAAGGGAGCGAGAATTGAGAGCCATTTTGGGTTTGTTTGTTTGTCAATGAGTATAAACTATAACGTGGAAGGGAAGCGAGGGTAGTGGTATTTATAGTTGGGTGGTCCATGGCGCGCGGGAGCCTAATCAAGGCCTTCTAGTTTCTTCCCATAGATTAGATAGAAATTTCACAACATAGTCCTTTTAATTAGGTTTATTAGCACAAAACCCCCTATCCTTTGGACCTATTGCAGAATATCCTCTATCCTTTCAAATTGGCCGAACAAAATTTTATTGTTTTATATTCTTGACATTTACATTATATTAATATTAGAAATTTAAAGTAATGTTATCTAACACACTAAACATGCAAAAAAATTAGCACCAAAAGTTTATAGCTTAGATTTCTTTTAAATTTATTTTTATAGCAGATGTTTTAGATCAATTCGCTTTGTTCGTTTATTAATGAAAAATTAGAATTCACAAAAAAAATGAATAAGATGAAATTACTCGGTACTAATAAAAAAGATAATAACTTTTTAATCTTTATTTCCTCTTTGTACAAAAAAACTTAATGATAATACTATCAAAGATGGATATAAAATATCGTACAAAGACTTTTTAATAAATAAAATACAAAACGGTAAAGTATTTTCAAAGTTTGATTGTAAATCTAGATTTTGACAAATAAATATGTCAAAAGACTCTATTTCTTTGGCAGCTTTTACACCACCGCTAGGACATTTTGAATGGTGAGTCACGCATTTTGGATTAAAAAATGTAGATAAGTTATTAATTTTCTAACCAATTATTTTCATGTTGCGGATGGCTCGAAGGATGATAATTTTTTGAGAATGTCAATCTAAGAGCAGTTCCAGAAGAATCTAATCTTTGAGTTAGAGAAAATAATTTAGAAAGACTTCAGAAATAGAGCGTTGTCTATTAAATATCTTGGATGACACGTGACTCTAAACAAAAATTAGATAATACTAATGCTCTACATAATCATTTTAGAAAAATTCACAATCAAATAGAAAATAGAAATTTTTGTTTCTTTGCATTAATTAATGGTAGAAAGTCTGGTATATAGAATTATTGGCCAAAGATATTACAAGAAGTAAAAAGATTTTCAGAACTTTTTTCGTAGAATTTTTTTTCAAAATCCGTGGGATTTTTTATGTTCCTGCAGATTTATTCGGTGGTATTTATAGTTGGGGGGTCCATGGCACGCGGTAGCCAACCAAGGCCTTTCCAGTTTCTTCCCATAGATTAGGTAGAAATTTCACAACATAGTCCTTTTAATTAGGTTTATTAGCACAAAACCCCCTATCCTTTGGACCTATTGCAGAATATCCTCTATCCTTTCAAATTGGCTGAACAAAAGTTTATTGTTTTATATTCCTGACATTTAGCCTATGTTTGAACCTCATTCTCATTTTTTTACTCATTTTCAACAACACACTGTTCAATAAAATAATATTTTTCATCACATCAATAATTTTTCCTTCTTTTTCAACAATATATTCCCGTTCACATAAAAAATGTATTATTTCCAAAAAAACGTGCATCAAACACATTCTGACATTATATTAATATTAGAAATTTAAAGTAATATTATCTAACACTAAACATGCAAAAAAAATTAGCATCAAAAGTTTATAGCTTAGATTTCTTTTAAATTCATTTTTATAGCAGAGGTTTTAGACCAATTCACTCTGTTCGATTATTAATGAGAAATCAGAATTCATAAAAAATGAATAAGATGAAATTACTCGGTACAAAAAAAAGAGAGAAAAAAAAAACTTTTCAAACTATAATATTTTTTTGTCTGAATTAAAATTAAGGAAAACAAATATAATCATATTTAGAGCACAAAGAGAGAAGGGAAAAATGGAATACTCATGTCAAGAGGGGAGATTTCTGACTTTTTCTGGAAGTTCACGTATTTTGCTCATCAAAGTAAGTGGTAATTTACTCGTCAAAATAAGTGAGCCATGGAAGATTACAATAACAAACAATAAGAAGAAGATAAAGTTTAGTAACTCATACTATTGTCATAAATCAAAACAAATGTGCCGAACGTTGACAATTAGGACAACAAAATATTCACAGCTCGTAAAGTTAGTGGGTGATATTTTTTGAACTATTCGAATTGAACAAACAAGTTTGATTCAATTTCGTTTCCAATATAACTAAAATAGCTGCTTTTAAGCACAATTCTTTGAAAAGTCAAAAATAAAGTACGAAGTGTAGGCATTAAAATGGACAAATACAATTTCAACTGCTACAATATGATTCAAATTCCTATTTGGAATAGGTTTGGGTTGTTTGATTGATTGATAAAAGAGGCATAAACAATTTTCGTTTAGAAGTTCAATTCGAAGAGAGGTCAAATTTCATTGAAGATTGGAAGTTTCATTGGAAGAAGGATCGTGGAATGATGAAAAACACATTTCAAAGGTTTGGAGTTGAGGCCAAGCGCCATGTTGCAGCGTCGGGCCACCCAAGGAAGTAAAAATTAGCATGTGGAGCTAGCGCTGGGGCGCCGTCCCCTTAAGTGAAGAAGTGCTGGGGCATCGGTTGGCCAAAATTCGATTTTGATCGGGAGTCTTGTACCTTTATTCAAAACACCAAAATTGGGCTTCTATATATACTCCACGTGATGTCGCCTTGAATAGACATATCAAAACATTGTATAACATTGAGAGAACATCAAAGTATGAGGATTTAGTTTATAGAGAGAGAGAGAGAGAGAGAGAGAGAGAGAGAGACTCGCATATTTCGAGATAGGTTGAGAGTCTTCCGAGATCTTTTTGTATTTCTTTACTATTGATTATAGTAAATTCTCTGCCTCTGTTCGTGGGTTTCCTAGATTTGGATTTTCACGTAAATCTTGTGTCCTTGTGTAATTATTTTCATCTTGTCAGATTTTCTTAACTTTAGTAATCATAATAAGTGGCATAAGTTCTATGGTTATTGTAAATTGGCTTGTTTTATAACAAATGGTATCAAAGCCAAGGATCGAAGTTCTTGGAAGAGCCAGATTGGTTTTCATATTAAAGCAAGGTTTGATCAACTCAGAACGGGGTCTTGATTGTTTCAGGATGACAAGTATAAAATTTGAAATTCCACTTTCGGATCACAATATCAGATTTTCTTTGCGGCATATTAAGATTCAAGTAGTTCTTGCCTAATTGGATTTGGATGATACGGGGCTGGATAAGATGCCCTCATCTTCGACATTGGAGGAGAAATAACGTAAAGATCGGAAAGCCATATCACAAATACATCTTCATTTTTCGAATCAAATTCTTCAAGACGTGGCAAATGAGAATAGTGCTGCTGTATTATGGTTGAAGTTGGAGTAGTTATGCATGCTCGGAGTCTAACCAGCAAACTGGGTCTATAACAGCGTTTATATTCTCATCGCTTATCTGAAAGTGGATCTTTGGAAGATCATATGTCTATATTTAAGGAAATTGTCGCTAATTTGGAGACCATAGAAGTCAAGTACGATAAAGAGGACTTAGGGTTGATTTTGCTATATTCGTTGTCCGATTCATATATGACATTTATAACCTTATCTCCCCCTACAACAGAAGAAATATATACATATTCTTCATTCAAGACAAAATCATTTACTTTATAACCTTATCTCCCCCTGCAGACTCTATATTCTAAAGAAATCAAATATTTCCCGTTTCAAAAATTGACCTAATAGTGGGATCTTTAAAAAATTTGTAACTCCTTAAAAATTGCTTTACTTGGAACTGCGTTAAGAATTTAAGCTGCAGTTTTTGGTACTTCTACCTAGAAAGATCCTGATGTATTGTGGGTAGATTCCACATTCCTCTAAGAATATTGCGAAAGTCTCTAGACATTGTTCTCATTCGTCATATCTGTCATACAATTCACCACTAAGATAAAATCGACTTGTTAAATTCTTTTATTGAGTTGATTTTCAAACTCAGTCCTGTATGCCTTGAACACGTCCAGTGTTTGAGATTTTTCATAGATGAAATATAGGTAACCCCATTGAGAAAAAAATTCGTCTATGAACGTAATAAATGACCGTTGACCATTCTAAGAATTCAGAAGGAATGATCCACACATATCTGTATAAATTAATTTTAAAACGTCTGAAATTCTATTGGTACCTAATCTCTTTATGTTTGTTTGTTTTCACTTCTTACAATTTACACAAACATTTAAATCTGAAAAATCAAGGGAATCAAGAATTCCTTCGACATAAGTTTTTCCATTCTCTTTTGATAGATGTGACCTGATCGTTTGTGCCATAACAAAGCAGAATTCTCATTGATTAATTTATGTTTAATACTGCGTGAATTCACATACAATGTTTCTTTATAAGAAACAAACGTATTAAGTAAATAAGGTTATCATAATCGGATAAAGAATTGGTACCCACAATATTTGAATTAAGAAAAAAATCAAACTGACTATTTTCAATTGAACAAGAGTAACCAAATTTGTCCAATATAGAAATAGAAACCAACCTATTTTCAGTTTTTGGAATTTCTGGAGGCGGGGGCTTGGGCTGCAAATTTGAAGTTTTTAGGCCCTTGCTTACAATTTAAAATTAGGGTTATGGTTGAGTTATTTATATTTCAGTCCTTAAAGTTTAAAGCTTATTTAAGTTGAGTCTTAAAGTTATGGGTTTAAATAAATTCAGTCACTGGAGTTTTGAAATTAATTAATTTGGGCCATTTTAGTTCTGCATTTTGTAATTAAAGCCCTCAAAGTTTCTGATTTTGTTATAATTGGCCCCCAAAAGTTTTAAATTTTACCTCATAAAGTTTAAAATTAACTAATTTTGACCCATAAAGTTTTGAATAATTAATTTTTGGGTCCTTAAAGTTTTGGATAATTAATTTTTTGATTCCTAAAGTTTTCAACAATTAATTATTGACCCATAAAGTTTCAGATAATTAATTTTTGGTCCCTAAAGTTCTGAACTACTAACTCTTAGGCCCTTAAAGTTTCCAGATAAATAATATATGCAAATTTTGGTGTTTTGCTTTTCAAATTTTGGTACAAAACTCATTTGGGAATATAATATTCGAAAGTGACTTAATTGAAGTAACATGTTGTCAAAGCAACATCTCTTGTGGGAATTAATTAATTAACTTAAAATATTAGAAGTACTTCGTGTGTACACTAGTTCATGCGGATATTAGTCGACCCAAATGAAGGTTAATATTTGGCTAAATTGCATGCATACTTGTGGTGGTAAACGTGTGACAATTATAAAGTTCTCAAGTGAATAATAAATCAATCCGGATTTATTATTTGACAGGAGTTATTGTCAATATTTGATCACTACACCAGAGTACCATTTGTAATTAATATTACTGTCCAAAGACCTTATATTAATGTTGCGCTAGATATTTTGAGATGAGGTGATGCAGGAGGGTCCGAGTCAAATGCTGAGTTGTCAGATAACACGTTAATGGTTCTAAGGTATCACGAGTTGGCAGATCGGGGCAAGGATGGCAAGTGATCGCGTAACTTTGGCAATTGAGTCGTGTTTCGGTAATTTGACCATAACTTTCGTTACGGTTATTAGAATCGCGATTATGACCATAATTCGAAAAGCTCTTTTCGGCGTGCACGTCGTGGCCACCGAGCTATTCTCGATGTGTGCCGTTTTCATCCTCAAATTCCGCTGATTTCCCTTTCGAATTGCTATTTTTAGTTAATTTTGCTATTTTTGGTAATATTTCGATTGCATGTTAGGATATGATTTTTAACCCGATTTGGGTTAGATTTTTTGTAGAATACTTATTTTATTCCATATTTTCGTTTGGCGTGATTTTTGAAATTTTTTCCATTTTTGGTAAAATTTGAATTTTGGCTATAAATTCCGACTTATGGACTTATTTTGATTATTGCGTGATATCATAAAAATTTCTAAACTTCAGAGACATTTCTCTGTGTTTTTCGGCGTTAATCTTGTGTTCTTCCATGTGAATTTGCTTGTAGAACTAGCCTGCGGAATAATCACTATTCTGCCCGGCGCCAGTTGGTATCAGAGCTTCAATCTTTTTCCTGGGTGAGATTTCATCAGTTCCAATGGCTGGAGGTCATGGTCGTGGTTGACGTGGACATGTTCCGATTGAGGAAGTCCAACACCGTGATCGTAATATTCAGGATACCTCGATTGAAGATTTGTAGAGGCAAGTTGCAGAGTTAACCCAGCGCCTCGTGGCATGCGATTGGGAGGACCATGAGGTCTCTGAGCCCGAGTCTGATTCCACTGTTTTTGAAAATCCCTACCACCAACGTGATCTATTTCGGGAGCACCGTGGTCAGGGAGGAGCGTTATAGGGATCTCGATTTTCGCTTGGATTTGCCCGAATTTTTGGTACGTTACAGGCTAAGGGATTTATCGACTGGATAAATGAAGTGGAACGTATCTTTGAATACAAGGAAGTGTCGGATCGTGTGAAAGTAAAATTGGTTGCCATCAAACTCAAGGGCAGGGCGTTTGCTTGGTGGTAACAGTTAAGGCGTTCACGGGATAGGCAGGGCAAATCCAAGATCGCTGATTGGGAGAAGATAAAGAAAAAGATGAAAGGTCACTTTCTTCCCTTCGGTTATATTCAAACCTTATTTCAACGATTTCATACGTTGAGGCAGGGTTTGAGATCAGTTGATGATTACACAGAGGAGTTTTACCAGTTGGTCGCCCGAAATGACTTATCTAAGACGAAGGAATAGATGGTAGCACGGTACTTGGGAGGGTTGCGCCAACCTCTACAGGATGTCCTCAGCCTTCACTCACTGTGGATAGTGTCAGAAGCATATCAGCGTGCACTTGTTGTTGAAAAACAGCAGAACAGGAGGCTAGTAATCAGGAACGATCAGAATTTGGTGGTTCGTAAGAGTTTACTGACTCCCAATGGCGATTCAGGAGACGATTGGTTAAGGACCAATATTTTCCACACGACTTGCACAGTTGCTGATAAAGTCTGTAAAATGATCATTGACAGTGGCAGTTGTGAGAATGTAGTGTCCGATGAGGCTGTCCAGAAATTGCAGTTAAAAACCGATCGTCATCCCAAACCATATAAGTTGTCGTGGCTGAATAAGGACAGTGAGGTAACCGTAGATAGACGATGTCTTGTCTCTTTTTCAATTGGTAGCAAATATTTTGATATTTTTGGTAATATTTCGATTGTATGTTAGGAAATGATTTTTAACCCGATTTGGGTTAGATTTTTTTGCAAAATACTTATTTTATTCCATATTTATGTTTGGCGTGATTTTTGAAATTTTTTCATTTTTGGTAAAATTCGAATTTTGGCTATAAAATCCGGCTTGTGGATTTATTTTGATTATTGTGTGATATAATAAAATTCTCTAAACTTCAGAGACGTTTTCTCTGTGTTTTCCGGCGTTAATCTTGTGTTCTTCCCAGTGAATTTGTTAATAGAACTAGCCTGCAGAATAATTACTATTCTGCCCGACGTCATGGGGTTTACCATTATTTGAATTTATTAATTGTTTAATACGAATTCCTATATGAACATATTAATTATGTTTTCTATTCAGTTAATCCATCAACTTCTTCAATATCTGCCTACATCAATTCTATTCCTGTGCTAGAACCAACATTTAAGGTCTAGAAAGAGAACGTTCAGATCGTTCTTAGTTTCATGGACTTAGACCATGTGTTAAGGACTGAACAACTTGCTGCACTTACGGATAAAAGTTTCACTGATGAAAAAAATGGACTTTGATCGGTGTGATCGTTCAAACCGCATGAGTCTTACAATCATAAAACGTGGTATTCCAGAATCATTTAGAGGTGTTGTGTCCAATAAGGTAATTACTGCCAATAAGGTAATTACTGCAAAGAGTGATAAGACTGAAACTAGTACACTTTTGACGAACTTAGTTTAACTAAGGTATAAAGGTAAATGAAATATTCGGGAGTACATCATGGAGATATCTTATATTACTTCAAAATTAAAGGCACTAAAGTTTGAGCTATCTGATGAGTTGCTCATATATTTAATTTTGATTTCTATTCTTGCATAATTTGATTAATTAAGGTCAACCACATCTGTCAAAGGGGAAAGTAGGCTCTCGGAGTCTAACCAGCAAACTGCGTCTATAACAACATTTATATTCTCATTGCTTATCAAAAGATGGATCTTTGGAAGATCATCTGTCTATATTGGATGAAATTTGGTTTCTATTTCTATATTGGACAAATTTGATTACTCTTGTTCAATTGAAAATAGCCATTTTGATATTTTTCTTAATTCAAGTATTGTGGGTACTAGTTCTTTATCTAGTTATGATAATCTATATTTATTTAATACGGTTGTCTCTTATAAAGAAACTTTGTATGTGGTATTAAGCACAAATTAATCAATGAGAATTCTGTTTTGTTATGACACAAACGATCACGTCACTTCTCTCAAAAAAGAATGTAAAATCTTGTGTCAGAAGGAATTCTTGATTTCCTTAATTTTTCAGAATTAAATGTTTGTGTAAATAGCAAAAAGGAAAAACAAACAAACACAAGGAGATTAGGTGCCATAGGACTTCGGATGTCTTAGAACGAATTTATACAGATATCTGTGGATCATTCCCTCCAAATTCTTGGAATGGTCAACAGTCATTTATTACATTCATAGACGGATTTTTTTTAACAGATCTATAAAACCTTAATCCAAAAAATTTGACTTTATATGAAGAAAAACTTTAATTATATCATAATCCATCCAATAACATGCTTGATTTCATGTAATATAATTTCAAATTCCATAAAACAACGTGTGGATCAAATCATCCAAAAATTCAGAATTTTTATAACTTTGATTTCTCAAGAATCAATCATGGAGTGACTCTGATACCACTTGATAGAAAACAATAAAATGATTATCAATCCATATGCTTTAATCAAAGCCTTTCACAAATAAAATATAATACATACTCCATGTTGAATCTGAGAAAATATTAAAATAGCGGAAGCATACCTTAATCCATATTATTTGATTGCTTGAATGGATTACGATCTTCCAATTGATTGGTGGTCTTCTCTTGAATTTCAATTTCTGTTGATGGGGATGCAGAGAATTTGAAGAATATCAATAAATGAGGACCATAACCATATAAAATAATAGTAACTGAATAGTCACTATCTTGCAGTTGTTTCAAATTGGTCCCTCATCAATTTAAAACAACACTTCGATCTCTACACTATATTTATATGAAACCTAATACTCATTAGTCAAAATTAACTTTAATGGACCACTTTAATTGATTAATATTTTTCAAACAATAGCACCACACATTTTAATATATTACATGTGTGGCCCCCATATGTTGAATTTTCCAACAAATACTTCAATGTTTTCAAAACTAAACATCATGCTTAATAGGAAATAAATCATAATTTTCAGGACTCTAAATTTTAAAACATTTAAAAGGAAAAAAAAAAAAATTAAATTTACGTCTATGATATTTCCATCAATTCGTGGCACAATGACATCACCAATTACAACTCAGACTTTTCCAATTCACACCTATGAATATTTCAAAAGTTCCAATAGCTCTTGTAATAGAGTTATCGATAAGTAATTTATTGATAAACAATTAAACAAGTTACAAACATATCAAGGAAACTCTTACTGTCTAACCAAGTTAAACAATTCCAGAATTAAAGGTGGTTACGGTAACATTGCGATAGAATTTCCATCACAAGGATAGAAAGGAAGCATCATGTTTATTTTTTGAAAACCGTGGAATACGAACAAAGTCAAGGGGCAGATGGTGTAGGAATGCCGCCACCAGCTGGATTCGGCACCTCTACCCCCGGGTTAGGCACGAATGTGTCGTCGCCACCAGGAATATTGCTGCCACCAGCTCCACCAGTCGAACCACCAAAACTGGGGATAGAAAAACCATTTCCTCCATTTGTGCCAGTGATGGGATTGTAGGTAAATGGATTGACAATGGTGCCCTTCTTGGGGACCATATAGCGGCCTAAACCTGGAACCAGCACCGTGCCATCATAGCCGAACCATTGAGGCTGCTTTTTATCTTCTTTCAAGTCTTTTGGGATATCGCGGCCTGCATAAGCATATCCTGCTATAGAGAGGAAAATGCTGAGCACGAAAAGGAAAGAGAGTACTCCACAACGAGCATTGAAACCCATTTTTCCAAACATAAAAACGAGAGCGAATATCTATGAAGAAGTCGAAAAATGTTGTGATGGACAAGTATGGGGGGATAAGGGTTCTTATAGTTAAGGCAATGGGGAGTGTTTTGGCGGTGAGTTAAGAAGGGGTGTTTTGTGGTAGATGCAAAGCAGATATTACACAGATATGATTGGATTTTATTGATCCATACTGATACAAGCTGTTTGAGCGGCTAATAAATGCAAGCTCATATTTTTTGTATATCATTTTTTATTTCGGTACAATTTTTGATTGTGCGTAGCTTCAAAACTAAGCCCATGTGTCGTGATCGTTTTTGTGTATCAGATCGGGTAAAGATCTTGGCATCACGCCATAGCGAATAGCAGCTTCAAACTCTCTTCTCAAGGATGCATTTGTCGAGGCATTACAAGTGTTGGAATAAGAGAACTCTCATTGAGAACGATAGAAACCTATAATTAGTTAAGCATATTTTTGGCAAGTGTTTATAAACAAATATAATTGAGTGGTGGATAATCGAAAATAATTGAGCGTTCATATTTGAAATAAAAAGACACTAGACAGGGATCTTTGAAACGTAGCAATTGTTGGGTCCGTATGATACAGGATTCAAATCGAAAAATGATTTCACGACAAAAGATTGACTTCTTAATGGATTTATTTACTGGAAAAATTACAGACTCAATGTTACAAATAGAAGGTTGGGGTTCTAATGCGTTATTTAGAAAGAGTTAAAAATGTCCTTTTTACGAAATGAAGTATTTGCCGCGAGAACAATATAATACTGTAGATTAGAGTACAGACAGTTAACTGCATTCTGTTGAGTGTCAGTAGTATTATTTATTTGGGTAATTTCACTTGTACATCAAGTGGTGTACTTAAGGGATTACACCCCCCTCACATGGGGGGTGGAACCAGCTTGAATAATATTTTTTTATTCAAACGGGTCTCACCCCCTAGGCCCTATGTGAGGGGATGTACACCTCGATGTACCGCTAGCATCATCCTATTTATTTTGACTTCACTCTCACTATAGAGATATATGAATGAAAAATATTAGAGCCGAGCTGGGGTACCAAGCTTTGGTTCACAAGCTGGTACCCGGCTCTCTCACGTTGGAGGGGGGGGGGTGGTACATTTTTGGGGGTTTTTTTTATTGAGGTGGGACCCACCTCATTGCGAGTGGGAGGCTTTACCAGGCCTTTTCCAGGCATGGTAAAGAAGAGAAATCCAAAATATTATTCATAATTAACATTATCTCGTTTTACGTGACATATACATGCAATTTGTTATTTAATGTATGAGATAAAAAAAATTACAACATTAATACATCAAATAACAAAATGTCATATGTATGCCTTGCAGGACAACTCCATGTAATCTTCACTATGAAGACATTACTCTATGCCCCCCATTCGGCTTTCGATTCAGTATTTGAAATTTTACTGGTTCTAATAATATATTTTTTTCGAAAAATGTGTGGTTAAAAAAGAATATATTTTTTTTGAAATTACGTGTAATATTATTTTATTAAAAAATGTGTGATAGACTATCAGACTCACAGTTGTCACCACGTGTCATCATGTGCTTCCGTGCCTAGGTAAAAAAAATTTAGGGTGCGTTTAATTTCGTTTATTTTTTATGAAAAATGTCAATTTTTACCAAAATTCCTATTTTGAAGTGTTTGATTGTTATTTTTTCTATTGAAAATATTATCCAACTTTTGAAAATATGCATAATTTTTCATTTTTTAAGGAAAATATTTTCTTTTGAAGGAGTAGATTTTTATTTTGAGATATGTTACATGTACATAATTTGGGTTACCTAAGGTTGTCTACCCTCTCACATGGGGTGGACCCCACACGAATAAAAATTTTTGGAAAACTTTCTCAATCTTGACAAAATATAACAAATATATCATTAAGCTTTTTTTTTTCAGTATAATCCATCCCTAACATTTAAATTATGTATCAAAACTTGTTCTTCCTTTCATTTTGGCCTTTAAATGATGAATTTTTCCTCATCTTTAAATGAACATAAAAAAAAGCAATAAACAAAAAAATTATGAAAAATTGCTAAGGGAATCACATATTATTTTTAAAAGTACAAATAGATTACACTTAAAAATTAAAATTACATATTAACACATACAAAAAATAGTTTTGAAAAAGTAAGGGACCGTTCTCTTTGTGTTTCAATTTTCTATTTTGAGTTTTGAATTCGTTTTGTATTTTGTGTTTTGAGTGTCTGTTTTGAAAATATTGAAAATGTGTTCTTTT